GGGGGGGGGGCATCAGGCTGGGAGACCGGAGGCTACGGAGGCACTAGCGCTACCGTTGGGAGGCAAGAGGTTATCGTGGGATAAAGGGTGCAGAGCTTGAGGTGGTGGAGACAGAGGGTGTGGGGTTGGGGTTCTCGCACCCCGATAGAGAAGGTGCTCTTGTGCTGGGGTTTGTATTAGGACGGAGCGGAAAATGGTGCCCGCAGCTTAATAATGGTAGAACCAGACTGGGAGAGTCGAAGCGGATCAAGAGAGAGAGGCAGACACAGGCAACCAAGCCTAGACAGATACTTGGATAGATAGATAGATAGCTAGATGAATAGGTAGATAGATAGAATGATAGACAGATGACCAGCTGGAGAAAACATGATGACGAAGGTGAGAGCACGGAGTGGAGATACGATGCTGCGGGGTCGTGGGAAGAGGTGTCGAGGGGGAGGGAGGGCAGTTAACAGAGAAGGAGGGGTTGGTACAGAGTGAGTCGAGAGGGCGCCAGGGGGCGCGAGGGTGCTCAGGGAGGGTGTCAGGGAGCAGGTGGCGCTCGGGGCGGCGGGCAGGGGAAGTCAGAGAGTTCTCTCTCACGTCAGTCGACTCGGCTGAGCCAAGCTCAGTGCGGCCTGAACGGTTAGCCGGCCTACTCCTTTTATGTGCTTATTCGTCTGTCCGTCTGATCGTCTGCACGTCTGTCCACTCGATCCGACTCGCACCGTGATTCGTGCCGATTTCTCGACAACCGACCGTCGATTATCCATTACTGCCGATATCATAGTCATCTCCATAGTCGTCATCCGCGTCGTTACCGTCACTTGTCCTACCGCTGCATTGCTCTCGCGTCAGTCTCTTTCGATGACAAGTTGGGAAGACTAGAGCGTCATCTCACGACAGCCGTTCTTCCTTCGGAAACCGTTGGTGTCCGGGCGAGCGTCAACCAGGAACGGTACGGATTTTTCTCACTCGTAAGTTCCACTCTTTATTCCGAGAGATCAATGCCTCTCTCCTTCTTCTCCACGACTTCTGCATCTCGTCTTCTTGAATTTGTTTCCTCGATTTTTTACATATTTATTATACCCAATATTCCTTTCCTTTTTTATACGCAGCTTCGGTGCCCACTGCAATTATTTTTCTTAGCTCCTGTCTCCTTTTTTAAATCTGTTTTATCCTCGCTTCTTCGCTTTTTTTATTTGCTTTTGTTTTCTTTCTCTCTCTTCTATTCATTGTGCCATTAGGATATGTGAAGGTATACTCGTATGTCAATTACACTTCCCTGGAAATAATTAACGGGGATTGATTTCCGTGGGACTCTGGGACTTGCGGGCCCACAGATACGAATAATTGACGAAGCTCTCGAGGGAGAGCGAGTCTCTCACTCGTATCGGGTTTATATGGGTGCCCGACGCGCAGAAGATTAGATACGGCAATAACGTGAAACCACGACACAACGAGAGTTAGTTCTGAGTACCATGTAATTACCGAAAATTTTCCGATATAGGCAAAGGTTCTTTGAGCTATGTTTCTGTAGCTTCGAGTACCTTCGTTCTAGCAATTTTGCCAGTCGTTGTACACCTCCTCTCTTCCTCCTAATATCTCCCGCTCGTCAAGTCTGCCACTTTCTATTTTAAAATATTTTGTTAATACTAGCTTCATGATATCCACCCTTACACCTACACACACACACACGCGCGCGCGCGCGCGCACACACACACACACACACACACACACACACACACACACACACACACACACACACACACACACACACACACACACACACACACACACACACACACACACACACACACACACACACACACACACACCACTTTCTATTTTAAAATATTTTGTTAATACTAGCTTCATGATATCCACCCTTACACCTACACACACACACACGCGCGCGCGCGCGCGCACACACACACACACACACACACACACACACTGTTAGGACGTATATGAAAAGCAACAGTATTAAAAGAGATCAATTGGTGGTGAATGAAATTGAAATTGTTTTCCTCTTTCATAACACCGCATTTATGAAATCGATGAATATTCCTCGTTAGAGTGACTTTATTTTAAGTTAATGTCAGAATGGAATGATTCCTGAACTTCATCATTGGGGAATAATCAATTGATTCTGATACGAATAGGTTGGTAATATTTTGAGTAAGAAGGGACAAGACGTTTCAAATGCAAGGCTCAAATATTAGTGTCGCGCACATCGTTCACACTGGGTAAAAATTTGACATATAACTTGTGCTACATTTGTTTCAAGCTTGCAAGACGTAGGTAGGTTGATATATATTTAGGCTCAAGAAAGTCGCAGTGATGGCACGGAAAGCAACGTGTATAGTTGTATAGCCTGCAGCGTTTAAAGGGTCAACCGTCCGATAAAGGTGAAGAATTCATCCTTACTAGTGACAAGAGAATACCTATAGCTTCTGTTCATTTGATATTTACGATTAGGGGTGGCAGTTTTAAAATTCCATTTCAATTGAACTACCAGTATAGGTTTACAATGTCTGCCTCCGTTAATTATGTTTATTATGATTCATTTAATGGTGGCAAATGTCGGCGGTGTCAAAGTGTGCTCGATTATTTGTTTAACGTGAAATTATAATTACTAATAATTTTATCGTATTTTCAATTAATTGCAGAAAGTATGCATTCACTGTCAACTTCAAATTTTTTTCATAAACAGGGTCTAATATTTTTATTTGATTTCGAATTGATATCTACGTCCTGCTGTATGACTATAGAAAGAAACTCATGATCTATTGAACGATCTACTTTAGTTTTTTTTATTCCACGTCAGAATCGCTGTGCGCAACCATTGAAATGAAAATCTGAGGCTAAATGTAGTATAAGTAATCGAGTAATACAGCAATGGCTGCGTGATTGAATTTGGTAAATAAAAATTAATGATGTGTCCAAGGCTTTTACCACGTTTGCGTTATGGGTCCAAGTTTTGTTAAATGACCCGAGTATCTCATTCACTTAGAAAGAGGGGACTAGATCCAAATAAATGTAAAAAAAAGTATATATGGGTGATTTCATTCTAACAGTGATTATTAATGTCCTGTACTGTTTACTCTCACTGGTTATACATTAACATTGTATTCATAAAATTTTTGTATTAATACGATCCTCGTGAACATATTACATCACTTTTTCTGTGTAATATAACTTGCAGTCTAGAGAAAACCTACAGTATATCACTTAAATGTCAGTACCGTGTTATGTCCATTTCAAAAATTTACCTATAAATTCATTATTTTCTTTGTCGCAATAAACGATTCAAACCAATTAACCCATAAATCTTAATGTATATAATCAAACTTTAAAAAATTGACAAATTTTTTTTCAATATATTAATTCAATAACTTTTGTTCTTAGATTTAAGCGGATTTTTGAATTTGAATTTGTATGACTCGTGCACCATCTACCTCGAGATTAATGAAACAACTAGTTAACCATATTGAAAGTATGTTACCTGAGTAATGTTTAAAAACATAACGCTGATGGAATTGTGCAACAAGTTTGTGTCATTTTAAAAGTCAATTTTCAAAAAGGCATGTCATAAATTGACTTGTCAGTACCGTGGTATTGGTAAATTTAGTTAAT